TGACAAAAAAACCCAAAATTTAACAAATATTAAGCTGTCCCATCTCTTACCGTTCGGCCTAGTAGTAAGCTTTGATGAATATTCGTTCTTGGAGATGCTAAGGATGAGGCTGCCTTTCTAGTCATAGCTTTTCTAGGCACGATTTGCTATCAGGAGAGGCGGCAGAAGCGCTCCAGTCAGAGATGTCTCCGCCATAATTGTTATTTTTGTAACTTTCAAGCTGGAGTGATGCTTTTTTGGACTTTCTCTTGTTGGCATTTTTTTCATGGAGCGTTCTGCAGATGATGACAGATGCTCTCTTATTGTATCTAAATTTTGTAGATCCTATCCCAATCCATAATCAAAAAACACTTTGGAAGAATTGTGCTATGTCATGAGGGACTTCATTTTGAGAAATGCTCGAAGCAAAGTGCCGGATTTTGGGCCCGAAATGCGGCCCCGAAAAATCGAGCAGCAGAGGTTTTAATTCAGATTCAGACAGCTTATATGTCCGATGTGACAGTATGACCTTAGGAGTAGATCATGAAGATTTTAAGTGTGAGATTCGATTGCGGAACTCAAATCTCAGATTTTAACTCTGAAGCTCACGCGGGTCAAATTTAAATCTTCAAAAATCATGTTATAGAGCTCGATCGCCCATCGAAGTGGCCCAAAACCCATAAACACTCCTTCAATCACTCGTTGCCGGTTCAGGATTTTGCCATTTTAGACCAGCAACACTGTTTGAAAACCACTTTATGCTGAAGGGAAGACCTTGAGGTACATTGATCGTATTACAGTATTAGTGACCAGTATTTTTAATTAAGACGAATTATTTAGCAAAACATTCAATCCAGATCGTGTCTATTCTTTCTTCGGTCAGAGTGGTAAAGCTTCATGAGTTCTTCTCTCACACTCTCGCTTGCATCCATGAAGATCTGAAAAGAAAAATTACTTTCAACTCTAACCATCCTTCCAATCTTTCCAAAATATAGGGTAAGTGAGTTCTGTGCGAGCAGTTCAGGTACTTGAATTTTTTCGGCTGGTTGTAACAACCAATTATAAAAAATTCTACCTTGTGTCTCTCCTCCCTAAGCTTGGCGAGTTTTTCGTGTGCAGCAAGTGCTTCAGGTGAAAGTTCCTTCAGCTGAAAAACAAAAATTATAATTTTACGAGCTCAGCCGGCAGCTTACCTTCTTCTGGAACTCCTCACGTCGCTTTTGTAGAGCTGCATGGAATTTGTTGAACTCTTTCAGTTGTTCGGCATTCAAGAGCTATAAACTTATCAAAATAAGATAATGACGTCTGCGAAACGATCATGTTGATGAGGAGCTATCATCTTTTCCAAAAAGAGAAGAGTTGTTCATTACTTTTATGTTGCGTTCTTGCGATAAAACCAAATAACCCAAGCAAGACGCCCGCGAAAGCCCGCGCATCGTCTAGGCAATGTGTTGGTGGAGGAAGCTACGATTGAGACAGACTTATTTTCAGAGCGCGATAGACAAAGATGAAGCTAAAAAAATAAAATATCTGGTACTATCCAGTACCCAAAAACCAAAAATCTCGGATCTCGCTGA